GCCCATATGTATTTTAGAATATTTATGTCCGTGTTTATGGAAAATTTTGGTGGGATGTTGGTAGAAATTATATTTACTGTTACAATGTTGTCCTTTTTGTTCTCTGCAGGATGGTCCCACGTCCCCCTTTTCTCCATGGATATTAAAATCCAGGGATACTCAAGTTATTCTTATGAAATAGCATAATATTTGCATATAGCCTTGTATTCTTCTGGACTTTTCGTTTTCAGTACTTAGGATTGAACACTGGGCCTTGAGCATGCTAGGCAAGTGCTCTACCACTGAGCTACATCCCCAGCCCTCTCCTGTATACCTTTAAAAAATATATTCACTCTTAATTGGTCAGATTGATGGTTGTGGAACCTGTGTATGCTTAAATCAGTGCTATATCGTCATCAGTTTAGATGTCTTTTATTTTTTTCACCAGTATTTTGTAGTTTTCTTTATGTAAGTCCTAAACATGCTTTGTTAGATTTACTGTTGAGTTTTCAACTTTCTTTTGGGCAAGGAGAAATGTTATTTTAAACATCCATTTTTGTGTGTTTAGGGCTAATCCATAATTGGTCTTTATAATGTTAGGTATCAGTTTTTATGATGTTACTTTGTATCATTTTATACTTAGAGTGACTCTTTGAATTCTTGATCCTATAGAGACCTGCTTTTCCTCTGAGGCTTGCTAAAGCCTCTATTTCTACTGCCTGAAGTTATGTTCTTTGACTCGGATCTGTTTAATATATTGTGCTGGAATCTGAAAGTGCTCTTGACTGCATACCTTTTTGTTTGAAGGAAATTGTAGAGAATATTTCTTGGATGATTTTTTTTGTCACCATTTTCTTTGTGTCTCTTTTGGGAACTCCTGTTATTTATATATTGGATCTTTGAGTCTGTCCTTTAATCTTGTAAGATTTCTTGCTTGTATATAATAATGTTCTTTTCCTTTCTTTTATACTTTTGCTCTTCTGTTGGGAAGTTTCCTTATTTTACCTTGGTACTTACGTTCAATTTTTTAAATAATGTCTATTGAAAAAACTGCATGTATGTTAAGTGTATAGAATTGACAACCATATTACTAAATTTTTGTTGGATAGTTGAACAGAACTGTTTGCAGTCTCGCTGTTTGAATTCCCACTTCATATGTTCCACTTTTGTATTTTGAACAACTATTTGTAAAAGGACAGTATGTAAAAATCAACTAGTGATTTCTTACTGTTTATTTTTTCTCTGAATGTATGTATTATTTCTACCCATTTTCTGTTTTGTTTAGTCTTTCTTTAAATAAATTTAAAAAAAGAAAAAAGTTCCATTTTATTGTATACTCATTTTAATAATCATTTTTTATCACGTTCTTATGTTGTTCCATTCCTATAACAATGTCTCATCATGAAAATATTTTCCCTTTTGTTCCTCCTGGATCAACACTTCCCTTGATGACTGTTAATCCTTGGCTGTTTGCATAGGATTGTCAGTTGGAAATAAAAGCTATTTGAGAGTTGAAAGACGGTTTACCACGGACTGTGGGATGCTTTGGTTGTGCTGTTTTCCGAGTCCTCCACCTGATAGTATATTTTAATCTCACCTTGTCGGCCCATGTAGTTCCCCAGAGAAGACTTCCAGCTCCTGCTTAAAGGATAAAGTTCGGATGCGAGTTTTGTGGAAGCACAGTGGGAAAGAGACGTAGAGGAGAGGGAAGGGCTGCTTCAGTATTAATGTTGTCATTTAATCCTCTTGGTTTCTTTGTTTTCTATTCACCTGCGCTCAGTGTTCTGTCTTACTCTCTAGAGAAAAGCCTTTCAGTCTTCTGCTGGGAATGGGGAAAGTGAGTTGTCTAAGAGGTAAAGATCTTAGGTCTCAGCGTTTTCAAATAGCCTGGAACAACCCGCCCTCTTTATTTTAGCTTCATCCCTTTCACATCCAATCCCAAGTGAACCTGAGACTTTCGACTTTTCACTGCTGTACCTGTTAAAAGTTCTGTGGTACAAAGTAGCGTGAGTATCAGGGCTTTCCCCTCCACCACTGCCCCAGACTTTTACTTAGGGCTGCTGTAGTAGTCATCACTTGTCTGTTTCCAAAATTTGAGGCTATTGCATATATTTTAAGCCCTGTTTAATGAAATGTAAGCTTCCTAGATTATTTAGAAGGGATAAAATGAGACAAATGTCTCCAGCCTGCCAATTTAAGTATGCATTGGATTTGTTAAGTGTCCTTGGAGAGTTTGTAGATGAGTATGTGTATTGTATATATGTAAATCATTTTTTCTTGTGTATATGAGATACTAATGTGATATTTCTATTGTTTTTCCCATGTCTCATTCCATGTTTACATGGACCTCTTCATTGTTTTTTGGAGTTGTGGGAGATACTGTGTTATATATCTGCAGCTTTTTCTACAAACAGTTCTGTAGAGCGGTGCTCTTTTGTTTCTGTCATGCTGAATACATGTGTAAGATAAAACCCTAGCAGTGATTTTTTTTTGATTACAGGGTATCTGAATTCATAATTTTAAGTAGCATGATATGCCAACATGTCTTGCTCATGATGAAAGAGTTCCATCAAACTTTGGATTTTTAAAGATGCTCTTAGAGTAATTGAAATGTATGTCACTATAGTTAGATTTTTAACTGAAAAACTCAAACTTATCCAGAAGTATGAATAGTAGAATGATCGTGGCTCATTTTGTTTTATTAGTGCCCATTCCCCTTTCTGCAAATTATTTTGAGCCATGTCCTGGATAATATAATGGTTTCTTGGTTAATATTTTTTATTACTAAAAATATAAGACATCTTAAAAATAGAATTATAGGATGTAGGATGTCTTAGTTTCTTTTTTTTTTCCATTTTTTTTTTGTTTTTTTTTCATTTTTATCGGTACCAGGGATCGAACTCACGACTGCCTGCTTGCAAGGCAGGCGCTTATGCCGCTGAGCTAAATCTCCAGCCCCTTAGTTTCTGTTTTGTTGTTGAGACAAGATAACTGACACTCAAAGTTAAAGGAGAAAAAGTTTATTTGGCTCACAGTTTGTAGAGTTTCAGTCCATAACTGGCTGGTTCCAAGGCAGACTGGCACATGGCAGAGGGGCAATCATTCATGGCAGGCGAAAGGTAGCAAAAGCATTAAGGGACCTTAACAGCACCTTTCTTCCCCTTTTATCTTCTTCAGACTACTTAGGAGGGGTAGGACTCACACCTTTAATTTTGGTGCCTTTGAGCCTAGCTTTGCACCATGAGTCAGTTTCGGTGTCACATACTGCAGATGCAGCCACTTCTGAAAAGTTCCGCCTCTGCCCCCATGCGGCTTTTGGGGGCACATCTAGACACAAGCCATAACACACAGTCTCTGGTTGGGCATAAGAATTAAAATACTGTGAAACAGATTAACAGGATAAAAGCACGCGTGTTGTATATAAAAAAGTTTTCTGTGTGTATTGGAGTCCTTACAGGAAAATGAAGGCCTAAGTTCTTAACACTAGGCAGAATAGTGTCTAGAAACATAAGAACTGGTTTAAAACTTTGATTGGACAGCTTTTGCCCATCTCTGACTCTCCATCTCCTGTGATGAGAATGTTCCTCTTCTCCTGGTTTGTGGAGGAAATCCTTCACGTGGGAGTTTCCTTGAGAAGGCAGATTGGTCCCTGTTTCTTTCTTGCCTGCTTTTCAAGCGCATTTAGCTTGAAAAAAATCAATGTGTCAAGGTCACATTATGGAGTAGCATATACTGAACTCCTCTAGTAGCTTTATTAATACAGTTTTAAGGAATTTCTTATGTATGAGATTGAACTTTTTTATGATTTAGAACCATTTGTGTTTTATCACTTTATTTTTTTCAACAGTTTTATGTTTATATTGATTTTATATTTAGTAATATTGTTGAGTTCATTTATCATCATCATCATCATCCTTATTATTTTGATTGGGACTTCTGGCATCAGGTTAAATGGGAGCAACAACACTGTGTATTGTTGGGGTCAATATTGATTAGAAAGGGGGTTGTTTGAATCTTTACCTGGTATGTGCTGTAGACTGTATAGTTTTGTTTTCTTAAAAAGATTAGGTATAAGATTTATTAGAATGCTTTTTTGTGCTCACTGAAACATCAGTATGATGGATTACATCAGTAGAGTGTTTGCTTCCCCCAGGGCTGGGGTGTCTGTCCTCTGAGCTCCATCCCCAGGCTTTCTGTGAACCTGCTTCTGGTACTTGGCAAAGCCTAGTTTTGTTATGAGATTGTATTTTTTCTATTACATTTTCATTTAATTTACTAATACATTGTTGGAATTTTTGTATTTATGTGTACAAATGAAATTGGCTTATAATTTTCCTGTTCTGAGTTATTATTAGTTTGGGTATCAAGATCATTCCAGTTTTAGGTAATTAAGTTGTCAGGGTAAGGTATTTTCTTTTAGTTGATGGAAATATAGATAAGATAGAAACTGGGGCAACTTATAAGTGTTTTCCCCCTTTGGAGGTTGAGGCAAAGGATCACAAGTTCCAGGAAAGCCTGGCAACTTAGAAAGTCCTTGTATCCAAATAAAATAAAAAGGCCTAGAGATTTAGCTCAGTGAAAGAGCACTTGCCTAGCATGTGCAAGGCTCTGGGCTCAATCTCTAGTACTATTAAAAAGAGATTAAGTGCTAGTTCAGCATCTTTACTGTTTATAATAGATTCCTTTCATTCTTCAGTGAGGTTTTTTTTTTTGTCTTTTTCGGTTTTTATCGGTACCAGGGATTGAACTCACGACTGCCTGCTTGCAAGGCACGGTGCTTATGCCGCTGAGCTAAATCCCCAGCCCCTCTTCAGTGAGTTTTTTTTCTGTCATCTCCATTTTAAATATTGTGTGCATGAAAAAATGTACTTTTGGGCAGTGCTGGGAATTAAGCCCAGGGCTTTGCACATGCTACTGATCAATACCCTAGTATCCCATTGCAAATATTATAAAAACATGAAATAATGAGAGATACTTAACAGTATTTTTCAATTTAAATTCTGTTTTGTGCTCCCTAATAGGTGCTCAAAAGTGTGATAACTTTGCTGAAAAAAGACCCCTTCTTGGAATTTGTAAGAGCACTGGATCTTCAAGGTAAGGAAATTTTAAAAATTGAAAGAATTGCCTGTCCTAAGTTTGTAGTATTATTCTACAGGAGAAACTTTGATGTTCTGAAATCTTTGTAACCATAAGACAAACTTCCATAAGAGAGAAAAAAAAAAAAAAGACAGTAAAATGTACTTTGAGTTTTCATCCTGCACACTATTGCTTTTATATACTTTGTGACAGCATTTATTTAAAGACTCTCTTTGTCTTTACTGCACTTGAGAAAAATGTTTTTGAATTTGTGTTTTTTTTTTTTTTTCTTTCTTTTGAGACAGATTCTTACTGTCATACGTAGTTCAGGCTGGCCTTAAATGCACTGTATTGTCCAGTCTGGTCTTGAACTCATGGTGATACTCCTGTCTCAGCCTCCTGAGTGCTGGGATTACAGGCATGTGCTGCCACACCTGGCTTCATTCCTTCTTTACAGTTTAGAAAAATGGAGGTGTTAAATCCACATGACGGTGAGCTTTAGATTCAAACATAAGCAGTCATGCTCTGAATTACATGTGAGCTACATCTGTAACAATGAAGGGTCTTTGGACTAGAGGACGAACAGTATTTGTCATGAAGTGCTTTGTTGTCTTTATTTTTTTCATGTATTAGATAACAATACCATTCTTCCTGGTATCTTATGATGAATTAGTTATCAGATTTTAGTGAGCCTCCCAACCCCCTTATTTGTGTTAAGAGTTGTGTTAGCTGCTGGTAACATTACAGTATCTCCCATAAGTCACAGAATGAGGAGCATGTGGACAGGCATTTCAGGGCTAGTGATTCACCAGTTACCCACGTTCTCCAGTTCGGACATCCTTTTAGTACAAATGCTTTTCCTAATGAGCACAAATGGCTACCACTTTTTCAGTTATTATGTCATCTAGATTTAGTTGCAAGGAAAGTTGGTATGGAGGATTATCAGAATGAATGTTAGGTTGGCAACCAAGAGTCTTGCAGCTCATGATGTATGCTGTAGATTGCTGAGCTTTGGATGAGGCAAACTTCCGCCCGCCTCCCCATACTGATCACTGAATTCTGGTAGTACTGTGCTACATCCCCTGCCCTTAAAAATTTTTGGGGGGGAATAGTTTTGTTAAATTGCTCAGGCTGGTCACACACTTGTGATGCTCTTGCCCTCAGCCTTCCTAGCAGTTGGGATTGCAGGCGTGTGTCATTGTGTGTCGGTAAGGGAAGAATGTTCAATGATATAACATGTTTAGATCATGGAGGGCTTTTTTGTTTATTTTTTTTGAGACAAGGTCTTGCTATGTAGTTCAGGCTGGCCTTGAACTCGTAGTGATCCTTCTGCCTCAATCTCTTGAATTCTAGTATTATAGGCATGTGTCACCACACCTAGCATCACAGAGTTTTGATTGTAGCCTTTTGTGTTTGTTAAGGTTCACTGGAGGAACAGTTTTTAAAAAAGGTAGACTTACAACGACTGTATCTGTTCAAGTTCACTGGAGGAACAAATTTTTAAAAAAAAGGTAGATTTACAATGACTGCCTGCAGAGTCAGGGGTATAAGAATGCCAAAAGGACCGTCTGCGTGCTGGAGTGCCACAGAATCCAGTCAGAGATTGAAGGCCCGGAACTCACTGCAGAGCCTTGAGCGAGTCTGTCAGGAAGCAGAAGCGTCTGTGTTGGAAGATTGAAGAGTCAGCGCTAGAAGCCTGGAGATAGATGTCCACAGGTGATGCTGAAGCCTGGAGCTCCTCCAGAGGCACAGAAAACGGGACTTCCTTCTTCTTCCCCTTTGATTCCAGCTAGACCATAAGCCTATTAGTTGGTGCCACCCACAGCTAGGGTGGGTCTTCTGTTTTTAGTAAGTCAGTCATCCACACACACCAGAACTGTACTACACTAGTGCCCTAGACCTTACTTATTCAAGTTGACACACAATGAACTGTCACACCTCTAAGGTTATTCAGGTGTTACGAGGCAAATATTTTCAAGTTTTTGGGTGGAAGCAGGCCTTTGAGAATTGCCTGTGTACCAAGTACTGTGCCAGGTATGAGATAAGGATGTAAAACCATGATAATACAATTGCTTTCTCCAAGGGTGTAAGATGTAACTGAAAAGGAAAAGCACAGCATATGCAAAACCAATTGTGAAATAATGATGTGCAGTAGGAATTCAGGGAAGAGAGAGCTAAGTGTGCATGGAGTAATAGCAGAAGAGGCAGTATAGGCTGGATCTTAATGAATGCAAAGTATTGCAGTAAATAAAGAGTCATAAAAAGGGCTTGCAGTCAGTTATAAAGTAATATTTCACCAGAAACTAGAGTACACCTAAGAATAATCAGTGTTCATGATTGCTCTGGAACTTAGCAAAGGCGCGCATCTGAAAAATACTGAGGCTTGAGCAGTTGCTAGGCTTTGCATAATAGCAGTGGGAATGAAGCTGGGCGTGGCAATGCATTCCTCCGATCCAGCTACTCTGGAGGCAGAGGCAGGAGGCGATCAAGTTCCAGGACAACCTAGGAAAGAATCTGTCTCAAAATGAATGAACAAATAAATGAATGAAATGAATAGAACAAATGAATAAATAGTAAAACGTAGTATTTACGGAAGTCATTAAAATGACATTTCTGTTGGTACTGTAGTGTTTGGATTTTAAGAATCAGAAGAATGAAAAAAAATTTGCTAAGCAAGGACTCATTAAGAAAACATAAAGACTGTTATCACTATACATTTACCTTGAGAAAAGCAAACTCACTGTAATAATTCAGTAACAATGAGGACTTAATTCCAAACTTAAGGACTGTTCATTAAATAGAATACAATTAATTCATCATGTTAATAATTTTTTCATTCTGTTACAAGTGCCAAAAATGTCCTCTTGTGTTGGGAAAACTACCTCAGGATGGAGTGCTTGCCTGACATTCGTAGGTCCTCGGATCAAGCCTCAGCATAAGTAAATAAATATCCGTAATACGTATTAGAGTGAGATACCCTTAGGCAGAGGTGGTGAAACGATGACATGCGTGCTCCAGTGGGAAGATTGTTACCACTGAGCGCTCTGAAGCTTCACTGTCACGGCCCTAAAGCTCCGGTTTGTTACTAGAGCTATGGTTGGTTAAGTGGTGTCATGCTTTGGAAGTGGCACTGCAGCACTGTTTGACTTTGTGTAAAGTGGTGGTGATATTATGCAGAAGTAGAAGGAGCTTTTGGGATAACACCTAAGTGTCTTTTTGTCCTGAAAAGTCCTGGAGCCCTTGTACATAGTCCCGTCCCTTTCCGCCCCTCCCTTGACCCCCACACTTCCCTTACTCTGCTTTTCTCTCTTTTCCTTTCTTCTCACTTTCCTGCCCTCCCTCCTTCCTTCCCTTTTTTCCTTTCTTTCTCTTCATTGTTTGGGATTGAACCCAGGTTTGTGCATGCTTGTCAAGCACCGTAGCACTGAACTATACTCCCAGCCCTTTTTAAAATTTAATTTTGAGACAGAGTCCTGAAAAGATGCAGTGCTGGCCTCAAATTTAGAATTCTCCTGTGTCATCCTCTTAAAACAGTTTGGGATTACAGATGTGTGCCTTTGCACCTGGCATTTTCGATTTTGATTGATTTGTATCCTGTTGTGTTTGTGAGACTCAAGGGAATCACAGGTAGATCAGTATTACTTTACAGGCACCAAAATAAGGTAAATGACATTTTACCAGTTTTTGCTGCTGATAGACAAGGGCTTTTCCTTTGGTTCATGGTGCATGAAATTCTAGCACCAAGTCTTTTACTTGTCCTTTCCTTTGGTATTTTTCAGGCATACTGTGGCATTCTGGCTTTTGTTCTACCTCTCCGGCATGGCTTTGTAGCTCTTTTTACTGTTTGAAGGCTTGTACATCCTTTGTATAGCATTTATGCATATAGGTTTTAATGGAGTCATAATGTTAGGGAATTCAGTAATGCAGATGGTTTGTGGGTTGCTTGATTTAGTACAAATTGAGCATCTCTAACTTAAAAGTTTTTGAGCACTGGTAAGTTGTTCAAAATTTTCAGACTTTGACCTGGGCCTGGTGGTGGATGCCTGTAGTCCTGGCATTCTGAGAGGTTGAAACAGGAAAATTGCAAGTTTGAGCTCACCCTGGAGAACATAGCAACTTAAGGAGACCCTGTGTGAAAAAACAAAACAAAAGATTTGGGTGTGTAGCTCAGTGTGAAGACACTGCATTCAATTCTGAGTTCTGGGGAAAAAAGAGAATCAGACTTGTAGAATTTTCAGTTTCAGGTTTTTGGCTTAGGGATGGGATGGGGATGTTCATTGTAAAGCCTATGGAAATATTCTAAAATCTGGAAAATGCTGAATCGGAAGCACTTCCAATATTAAGCGTTTTGGAGAAGACACAATCTTTATTATCTTAGAACTACCAATGTATTAGTGCATTTTAGGTATGTTCTCTGTTCTTCTGATTATGGATGTAACTAAATGAGATGATAGTACTGTTATTTTTTAATAATGTTTTCTCATGTCTTAGGGATATTCTTTATAAATGTTAAAATGGTAACACTGCCTTTAATAAACAAGAAAAAAAGTATCCAGTGTTTATCATGACCCAAGTTCACATGATCACTTAAGGCAAAGTTTTAGTTTTTATGTTGGAGTAAGGCAGGGAGCCAGCACATTACATACTTGACTTACACTAAATACAATTTAAAAACATACTCTGGACAAATCTCAGTAGGAGGCAAGAGTGGTCTATTACTGTAAACTGATACATACACTATTATGTAAAATTGTAACCATAGGAAATATGCCTGTGCATTTAATTATTTAAAAAGTTGGCTTTTTTTTGGAGACACAATCCCACTATATATGATTTAGGTCTGGCCTTGAACTTGGTGGTGATCCTCCTGCCCTAGCCTTTTGAGTGCTGCCCCACTGCCATATCTGGCTCTAAAAAAGACAGTTTTTGAATTGCACACGCCTAAGTGCTAGGCTCAAAAGGCCTATCTATGTTGCTTTAATTTTTTAAAGAAAATTCCCTACTGTTTTGTGATATGTGTATCCCTAAAACTCTGGGCAGCCATCATCATGACTAGAATCAGATAATGCACTCAATTTTGGTAATGTGAGGAGAGTTTAAATAAAATGAAATGTGTGGGAGTTGAAATTCTAAGTAAGAGAGAGCATTAGTTGAACTGTGGAGAAGCCTTATTAAGGTTAAGACAGCGACTCCTCCCTCTGATAGAGAGATTCACCTCAGGCTTCATTATCCAGTGTTGTTCCAGCATATTTTCCTGTCTCCACATCTTCCATGAGGCAAACACAGCCAGAAGCCAGGACTGGATTTTAAAGGTTCAGAGAGACAGTGGACACAGGCTATATGATATGAGTGATTCTTTCAAGCAGGGGTAGGATGTAGAGAATGCAGCATATATTTGGAATGGGAGCGTAATTTTATTTTGCTAAATTGTATGACAAAACTGAGACATAGGCTTGGTGAATTATTTTTGTAATCTTGTAATCAGAACAATAACAATCTAAAATTAAAGCTTGATTGATTGATTGATTGAGATGGGGTTTGCTCTGTCATTCAGGCAGACCTTGAACTCACTGTGTAGTCCAGGGTGGCCTCAGGCTGGCAGCAATCCTGCAGCCTCAGCCTCTCAAGTACTGAGATGGTAGGTTTGTGCCACCATGCCTGGCTGAAATGAAAGCATTTAAGAAGAAATATTAGTGCTAGTAAAAATACTAATAAATAAAGTGTTAAACAGAAGTACTGCATTTGTCAGCTTTTCTGTTGCTGGGACAAAATATTGAATGGCAGCAATTTTAAGTTTATTTTGGACCCTGGTCTGAGGTTCAGTCCATAGTTGTCTTGTTCTAAGGCAGAAACATCGTGGCAGAGGGGCCTGCTGGAGAAAAGCTGTCATGTCATAGCAGCCAGAGAAGAGGGATCGAGAGGTGTGTGTGGGGAAGGGTTGGGGAGGTGAAAGGAGAGAGAGAGAGAGAGAGAGAGCGAGAGAGAGAGAGAGAGAGAGAGAGAGAGAGAGAGAGAGAGAGAGAGAGAGAGAGAGAGAGAGCGAGAGAGAGCGCGAGCGCAGTAGGCAGGGAGGTGGGCAGGCAGAGACAGACGACGTGGCAGGAACACCTTTCCGGGTCACACATGAAATGACCTGACCCTTTTTGAGTACATCTCAGGTACTTTGATGGAATGGGGATGAAAGAAAAGGCGAGCAGTGTAGAGAAAGGTGCAAAATGGACAAAGACCAGGGCGACACACACTTAGGCCTGAAAATGTCAAACTGAGCCACAGAGAGCGTGGTTCCTTTTGGCTTCTCCACGTTATGGAACGAGTGGACTTGGTATTTAGTTGCTGCAAGTTGTAGCACCAAAGACTAAACTCTGTGAATTTTACCTACGAATGCAACTTTCTTCATGTACTGAAATCATTCCCAATTCAGAATCCTTGTAACAACAAAGACTGTGAAGTATCGTGTACACACTTTTAACTGCTTTGATACATAATTGACATATAGTGATCGTAAATATTTAAATATGTGATTAATATGTTTGACATGTACGAATAAAACCCTCACCCAAACAAGGTAGTTATATATTCCTGTCCCCCGAACGTTTCCTCATGTCCCTTTTTGTTTTTTTTTCCCCGCTCTGGCCTCTCTCAGCTCTTTCCCCTCAGATAACCAGTGATATTTTCTGTGACTGTTGATTTTGTACATTTCTGACCCCTAGTATGTGCAATTTCCATTTCCCCTACTTTCTCAGAGGCACTTTTATTGCTGCTGTAATAAATGTGTAGCGGTGTTTTGTTAAGGGCTTTTGTTGTTGTTGCATTGCTTGGGATCAAATCCAGGGACTCATGCACGCTAGACAAGAACTTTACAACTGAACTACACCCCAGGCCTCATTATAGTTTTAATTTGCACTTTTTACATTTTTAAAATCTTTATTTTAGTTAACTCTTCATATATTCCTATTATTAGGCCATTCTGAGTGTGAAATTCTGATTCATAATAGTGTTCCTGCAATAGTAGACTATCTATAATTACGTATTTAGTAACCTTAGGTGTTAGCTTGTGAAAAGCTTTACTACTTCTTATACCCCTTTTTGGCATAATATTTTTTTGCATAAAATACAATTAAATATATAAATTAAGAATTGCTGTTTCTGTGGGTTGTTTCAAGCAAAAATACTGTAGCCAATTATGGTGGATTAACTAAGAGTCCACTTGTAACCCCAGCTGAATTGAGTCATCGTGGAGCTGGGTGTGGGAGGCCCACCTGAGGATTGTTGCCAGCAGCATAAAAGGAGAATCGGAGGGGAAGATGGTGCTGTAGATTCTCCTGGAAAAGCTTGCCACGGCTCATGTCTGTGATGTGAACTCTGTTCTGGTAGTGGTTGTCCTGGTCTTAGTCATTGTGGTTGAGGTTGTGGTCAGTGTGGTGGTGGTGGTTGTCATCATTGTAGCTTGGTCCTCACTGACCCTGAGGGTGGCTGTGGGGAAGCTCTGGTCCTTACCTTGAGCGGCGCTTCCTGGCTCCTGTGCCGATCCCTCAGCCTGCTGGTGCAGATTTTCTGGCTTCCACCACTGACCTGTGGGCCTTCCCATGGCAGATCCTTGATGCAGACTTGCATGGGACATTGTCAAGGGTTCTAGACCTCCAGCTGGACTCATGGAGGACATTGCCGTGGGCTTTAGGCCTTTGGCTGGACTTGTGCGGGAACATTGCTGTGGGGTCCAGACTCTGGGCAGGACTTTTTGCTTGAATATTATAAGATACTCTTATAAATTTATGTAGCACGTTTATATAAAGATAGAAAGATAGAAATGTCTCCTTTGCTTCCGGTTGCCTAGCTAGTAGATTGAAGTGGAAGCACTGTCACTTTCTAACCTGTTGTTTTCAGTCACTGCTTCCACATGTTTTGGAGTACTCCTGAATTTATCTTTAATTTCGTTTTAAACTTGAGGTGGTTGGAAATCAAGGGAATAATGAGACCCAGAAAAGAATGGAAAAATGGTCAGGAAAATAGTATTAGTAAAGGAAAAATAAATAAATCTTAATTATTAAGCTAAAGGTAAACTTACATAGTAGATTGAAAACTGACAGAGAAAGAGAAGTGAATTTGCAGAGATGACTGTCTCTACTTAACTGTATGTTCTAGAAAATTGTGAGTCTGTTTGTTTTTTGTCTTTTTGAGACAAAGTTTCACTATGCAGTTCAGGCTGGCCTTGAACTCACTGTAGCCCAGACTGGGATTACAGGCATGTGCCACTCTCCCCGCTCGAAAATTGTGTCTTAAAAAGTGATCATGGTGGTTGAGAAATGTAAATGTATGTAGTATACTAACTGGAGAATGAACAAACGATGCATTACTGCTGTCCTGCGGTAAGAGAGCCATCTGCTAACTAGTGCTCTTTTGATGCAGAACTTTTCCCTTCATGGCATATGTGTGCTGTGTGTTAATACTAGGGTCCAGGAAGATGAAACTGTCTCCGGCATGCTGATTCTGATTTTGAGTGTCTACGTGAAAGTAGGTCACCTGACTTAGCACCTCCCAGCAGTGACAGCGACACCCTTGCACTCTTCTGTCACCTACCAACAATCAGAAGCTTTCCTACTTTGACTAGTATGATAAACTTCATTTATTTATAAATTAAGTATAATGCATATTTACTTTTAAATTAATGTTTATTGTACAAACTCTTTAAAAATATTCAGCTAATATCATTTTTTCTCTCTGAGAAAAGATGATTTGGGCTACAACTCATTACAATACTCATGAAAGGTAATGGAAATAATTTTTCACTTAAAATCTTAGTGAGTTCTCAGGAATAAATTCTAGTCACTAAAAGCAAACAAAATTAGGTAGAATTGTGTTATAGTTTTTTAATTTTGTGTAATTTTAGGGGTAAATTCTCATTTTGAATGAATCCAGTTTTTTTCTGTGTGTGAATATTGTTATTCCTTTATTCATGGTAAATTCTTTTTTTTTTTTTTTTTTTTTTTTTTTTGGTCTTTTTGAGACCGGGTCTCACTGTGCAGTTCAGGCTGGCCTTGAGCTCACTTTGTAGCCCAGGCTGGTCTCGAACTTGCAATGATCCTCCTGCCTCAGCCTCCAGAGTGCTGGGATTACAGGCAGGAGCCACCATGCCCGGCCAATTCATGGTAAATTCTGTGTGACTTTTTTGAAACAGCATTATGAATTGGTTTTATAGTGGTAAAAGACACGGTTGAAGGGATGTGGGTGTTTTATCTAGTTTTCTAGTGGGAATGTGTCTTTTTCTTAATGTATATTGAATTTTAGAATATTCAAAAAAAGATAATGTAGGGCACTGGCTTCAGTTGCTCTTGGACTTTCTGTAAGGTCCTTGCCTGTAGTTGCTTTCTTCTTTCTCTGTTACTAAGCTACCAAAGGACACATCCCATTTCTGGTTGGTGTGCTTCCTTTTGGTTTATATGTCTGCTCCTGCACAAGTTCTTGTCCCCTTTCTTCTGATTCGGTAGTATCTCAGGTTTTATAGATGTTGGGCCTGCTTTCAGCATTCTTCTGGGCTGGGTGAGACCTTTTTCTTCAGAGAGTAGATCCTAGGTAATGCATTCTCTGCTCTGCTCTTAGTGGGGCCATCCCACTCTCCATTTACTAAGTAGTCTCCCTTAGTTCACAAGTGGGGCTGATCCATTTTGAATATTTATTATCCTACCCCTGTCCAGCTCAATAAGTGGTAAAGTTCTTCTTTGATCTTTTGTAATTGTGCTATATTAGTATTTAGGGGTGATTTAATTTACTTCTGTTTTTGGTATGTTTTGTTTCTGGAAGGTACTTAAGTGGCTGTATTCACATTCAGAAGCACATCTGTAGAAATTTGTGTGTAGTTTGTACTTCGTTGTACCTTGTTTGCTTTTCTCTTATTAATAAATTGTGACACCATTTCATTTAATATTCAGTGAATATTGGTGCTACCTCATGATACATACCTATTCTCCACTGTGCTCTGTTTTTTGAGAAAGGACCTTGCTGTGTTATCCATGTGGATATTAGACTCAAGTCTTGGACTACAAGACTTTAAGTCATCCTCCATTGCAGCCTTCTGAGGAGCTGAGACGATGGCACATGCCACCATACCTAACTTGTGTTTTTAGACTGATCCTAATTGGAAAGAGTTTAAAGCTTAGGATAGGCTGTGGTTTGCTGTCACTAGATCTCAGCGTCTCATGTTTAGCTCTGAAAGGTTTTTTCTTTTTTTCCAGAAAATGTTTATGTTTTAGTTGTTCCTGCTCCTATAACAAAATACTGCAAACTGGGTAGTATATTTCTTACAGTTCTATAGGTTGGGAATTCCAAGATAAAGGTGATAGCATAGGGTGAGGGTCTGGTGTCGTATCTGCTTCCAGATTCCATCTTGAACTTTGTCCTCGTGTGACAGAAGGACAGGAGGGGCCTAGAATGTTTTCTTTGACTTTCATGGTAAGTTTGTGATCCCATTTGGAAGAGCCCTGCTTAGATGATTTGATTACCCTGTGAAGACCACACCTGTCATATTAGTGTGATTAAGTTCAACATAAAAAGTTTTTGAGACACATTCAGACCATCATCCTTGGTAAGGTACGCACAGTACTTGTGGTCTGAATTTGTTAAGAGCTTGGTCTGGTGGTGCGCGCCTGTAATCCTAGCACTTGGGAGGCTGAGGTGGGAGGATTGCTTCAAGTTCAAGGCCAGGTTGAACTGCCTAGCAAAACCCTGTTTCAGAAAAAAAAGTACATTTGTTAAGAACAAATCAGTCACAAATTTCTTAAAATGGAAGCATTTTGTTAGCCATTTTACTGTAATATGTGTTTTGTTTTGCAGTGTTATGGAGAAGTATATATTCTGAGAGTTGCCTCTGATTCTTGGTTCTTGTCTCTTCTAAGAGATGAGTCTGGAAAATTTTTAAGAGCTCCTAAATATCATAAAGATTACCAGGAGCACATTCATTATTATATATTTGAGGAAAAATGCCTATGAAACAGATCTTGTGGTGCAAGCCTATAATCCTAGCACGCAGGGTAACTGAGACAGGAGGAGCACCACAAGTTCAAAGCTGGCCTGAACTACACAGTGAGACCCTGGCTCAAAATGAAATCTTGGTGCAGTGATTGAAATCATGGATGATATTGGCCTTTCTGTAGCAGCTTTTGTAGTGTTAATCTCACAGAAACTCCACCTAGAACAGTATGTTCAAGAAATCAGGATTTGATTTCATGTTCTATAGTTATGTTCATATATAGGTTTAACCTCAGTTTGATACTCTGAAATATTTATTGTTGTTCTTGAATCCACGGGTGGAAATACAGAATAATGAAAGAACAATGGAGTTGAAGTTACGCAGACCTAACTGCAAATTACTAAGTATATAAATTAAATTATTTGACAGTTCTTAGGCTCAGCTTTGTTATTAGAAAAGTGGGCCTAACACGCAATTACTGTGATTCTTTTTTATGAGTATGAAATGAGGAAATGTTTCCAAGTTTCTACTAGAGTCTGGTACATATTAGGTGCATCTCATATTATTTTATTGGAATCAGAAAGATATGATGCATAGCCAAGGAACACCAACAGAATTCTTTTCGTGTATATTTATGTAGATATTTATTTGGGAGTGTGTGAATCTAAGAGTACTTGAGACATGTGGCTGTGTCCACCTGGGGCTTGTGCTACAGGTTTGTCATTCCTCATGCCCTAACCGAGTGCTATATCTAGGTTTGTTTACTTTCATGAGAAAGTTGTAATTTGCTTATCTTCCCTAAAAAAGCTCTTATATAAGGTTATACATTCCCATGCAACACACACATATCTTTATTGAAGTCTAAACTGAAACCTGATTAACTGCGCATCCACCGTGTACCATTTGATGGCTGTTGACATCTGTGTATAGCCATGAAACCATCACCCCAGTCAGGAAAATGAGCGCTTCCATCACCCTGCTGGGGTTTTTTCAGGCCTGGTCATAATGCATCCTCTGTGACCCTCCCTCAGCAGAAGCACGGTTCTGTGTACCGAGTCTCTGAACAGTGCAGAAATCTTCATTTTGTAATAAAGTTTTTTTGGAGATATCTTGCTAACATATAGTTTAAAGTGACAAGTAATAGTTACAAATATAAAAGTCAGTAGTTCAGAGTTGTTTTTTCTTTTGCTGTACAGTTTAAAGGAAAGACTTATAATAAAAGTAGTGCTTTCCTTCTTCTAAAACCAGTTCATAAAAGTACTCAAAAAGGTTTGCAATTTCACTGTGTAATCATTTCAAAACAACAGTTTTTTTCAGCCACCAAAGAGGATGCAGTCTTGACATATAAATAGAAAACAGATTGGGTTTTTGGCTGATACTGCTATACTGGTTTAAATATTGGTTCACTCAACTTCAGGCTTAGATTACACGATTTGCAAATTAAAGGAAAACCAAAAGGGAAAGAACATCTGCATAGATTGTGACTTTGTGGAATTCCACACAGGCGTGCTCACTCTGCTTCTCATGGAACAGGGGATGTGCGCTGAGAATAAGCCGGAAAGAGATCACTGCTGTGTTTTGATTATCGTAAAGACAAAACTGAAGTGAACAATTAAGTAATTCATTATGGAGAACCATGACAGTTTCCGAGTAACTTATATGTTAGCCATTTTAAAAAAGATCTTTTGGTGGTTGTGGTTGTCCTTGTTGACATCTCACTGATCTCCTCCTCTTGACTTTGTGAAGAACTGTACTGCAGGGCTGTGCTGCCAGACCGCGAGAGAGCTTTTGTTCATAAAGCTACATGGTATTTATCTAGAATAAGAGCTTAAGGTGCCGGGAGTGTAGCTCAGTGGTACAGCGCCTGCTAGGCAAGCACAAGGTCCTGAGTTCAATTCCAAGTAGAACAAGAGCTTAGTAACCCTCACTATTCTGTTCCTGGATGGCTTTCTTGTGTCAGAGTATTGGTATTTGAGAAATGTAATTAGCATTAAACTTTAAAAATGTTATTATCAAAGACTATATGGGGGTAATTTACTCAGTAGATACAGCACAGTTACAGTAAAATGTAAAGAATCCTTGTCTGCTACTAAGCTAAGCATGTGTATGATTTTAAAATGTTTGCCATAGATCACTTAGCCTGCCACTTAGGAATTGCAAAGAACTGCTGGCTAAAATGTTTTCCCCACCTTCATTCTAAGAAGGGACTTCATTCATTCATATATGTGCTACTGGGGATTGAACCCAGGGCCTTGGCTCTGAGTTACATCCTTAAACCTTTTTATTTTTTTTAATTTTGAGACAAGATCTCCCTAAGCTACTGAGTTCTCAGGTGGTCTTGAGTTTGAGACCCTTCTGCGTCAGCCCCCCAGAATGCTGGCACTCAGGTGTATGCCACCCAGCCTGGCTCTAAGAAGACATGCTTATAGATACTTACTTTGTGTCAGTTTATCTTATAGTAGTAATCAAAGGCTTACTCCTCCATCCCATCCTGGAGCTTAACCTCATGGCCCCCCACATGTTAGGCAGGCACTTGGCCACTGCGCTACACCTGCATCTTTTTAATTTTATTTTGATACAGTCTCTCTAGGTTGTCTAGGCTTGCTTTGAACTTGTTCTCTTGGCTCAAGCTTCCAAATTTCTAGGATTGTAAGCCTGTGCTACCATGCGTGGTTGAAGGAAAGAAAAGATAGATGTTCCCAGCGGACATTTGGCAGCGTCTGGGGACAATTTTGGTGGTTACAACATGGAGTGAGGAGCTGCTGAGCATCCTGCCATGAGCAGATTAGCCCTTCCCAGCAGAGAACTACTGCGTCCACAGGGTCAGCAGGGGCAAGGCCGAAGAACTGACCAGTGAAGAAAGAAATCTGCGTACTGGTGGAGTTGGTGTTCTAACATGTAGAGGGTAACAGTGAATAAGGAAAGCATAGTATGATGATAAGTTTTATGTAAAAATAGTAGCCAAGAGCTGGGGATTTAGCTCAGCAGCATAAGTGCCTGCCTTGCAAGTGTGCAGTTGTGAGTTTGATCCCTGGTACGGATAAAAACTGAAAAGACAAAAAAAAAAAATTAAAAAAAAAAGTAGCCAAGGTTATTAGGAAATGCTGCACAGAGCACGAGTGTTTTTCAGGTATGGACATGTGGATGTGAACATTTCTGTCAGGTTGTTTGATGTTCATTTTAGTTTTGTTCATAGACAATGTGGGTCAGCTAATTCCAAGTACTTTCTATTATTCTGTGAATATTTGTTTATCATCAGTATATGGCATTTTAATTAGAAAAGTGTAATTTAAATGTGTATCTTTTTCTATGTTGATATCTATACAGTTGACTAAAAAATTGGACTTTGAAATCATAGGTGTATTTTTTGTGTGTTTTGAAGTTATTTGCATATATAAATTTTTATTTATTTCTTAGTATTTCAGTTATTATACCCTGTAAAATAGTATTTTTTTGCTGTTTGAGAAACATAAATCCAGTTGTAATAGTATGAAACATGATTTCAATACATACTCCACTTGAAAATTCCCTAGAAGGCAGCACAAATCCTTGATGTCGGTCGGACCAGGAGGGGAGAAGGCCCAGTAGGAAGTCCTCCTTACTCACCTTGTAGGGAGATGGCATGAAAGTGAGGTGGCAGAAGAAGTTTGTGTACTGCTAGAGGTTCCTGGGGTACTCTGGCAGGGTGGTTTGAGGCCATATTTACTTGTTTAGTTCTAATATGAAGCTCTTGGTTGTACTTTAGGCTACTGCCTGCCAAATACTAGAAGAGAATTTGAAAAGAAGTGCAAAACTTTTATTTTTACTTTGCTGAAAAATAAAAAATTGTGAACCATTTATAATAGTGTTTTATGTTTATAGACAAGTTATTATTTCAGAATAAACTTTATGAGCTCCAAATAATGGCTGTCATAACTAGAAGCAAGATTTACTTTTCCTTAAACTTTTTTTTTAAGAAAAGCCATTTGACTGTTATTTTTATTTCATTGTACTTGTTTTTTATTCCTATTAGAAAACAATTACTGTAGAAATAATTGTTATCTGTTAATAATTTTATTAACATTATGTTTTGCAAACTGTTATGGAGAAGGTTAAAACAGTGAGCTAACTGGCATATGGGGCCTCCCTGTATAGATGGGGTGAACGCTGTCGTGGGGTGAGGGATGCAGGACAAAGGTTAATATTTTAGGTGCCTTTTGTAGTTTTTTAAAAAAAACTGATAAACATTCAAACTTCTGGTATAGTTACATTTTCACCAATTTCTTAGATTTAACAGTTTATGTGGCAAAATGAAAACTAACAATTTATGTCAAGCAATTATTTCCTAATAAAAACTTTATTTTCTAACTCATTTTTTCTCTTGAAAAATGTGGAAAAACACCTTCTGAATACATTTGTTTGTCAACTTTATTTCCCCTCTCAAACAAGGAAATTAAGTGTACGTTTATGATGGCCGGAGAGCAGGATGAAACAGCTGCGCCCATGCATCTCCGTCACTTCTCAGCCGAAGCAGCGCTTGGGAAGAATGCTAATCCACCCCTTCTCTATTAAAGATAAAACTGCGGCGATTCGGACGATTTTAAATTATTAAATGCTGTAAATGCCATAAAGTTAATTAGAAGAGGAACAAACTCTACAAAGATAAATGTGTTTTCAATACGACTCGTGGAGAGGGTACAGTAGAAACCAGTGAACAGAGAGGAAATTTATTTCTGGCAGGACTCTAGACATGGAACCGTGGCTGAACTTTTTACCCTAATTACCTCCTGCTAATGCCTGCAGCGGTCTGGAATCAAAGTGCTGCTTCAGGCCCTGGAAATTCTCTGATGTGGCAAACGTTTGTTGTGTGAGGAGGGTTTCTTAAGAAAAAGCAGAATATTGTGACAGGATTTTAAAAAAATTTCTCAGTTACCACCCACCTCACTTGTTGCCTACAAAAATAGAGTAATTGTTTGCATCTGTGTGTTCTTTTTTCCTCCTAAGAAATAACTGTTATAAATCAATGTGACATAGATCCAGTGAACTGAGGCCTGCCTGAAGTAGGGTTTTTTTTTTTTAAGTTTCTCCTCTGATTTAAAATTTAGGTTCAAAATGTGAACAACTTATTCTTTATAATTAAGAATAACCATTCTACTCATTTTTAAAGGCAAATTCAGATCTTAAAGCGGAGAAATTTTAAAATGAATTTAATGACTTGTATAGTATCTGTATTAATAACTGTTAAATTGCTTATCCTGGAAGTAGAAATGCAGATTTCCAGTTTTACCGTTAGCTCTTGGACTGGGGCTACAGTCTAAGATACCTGCTTTTAATTCCTCTGAGACTGTACATCATGCTATTTATCTGTCATAAAATTTCTGGCCTCTTGTACACATTTTTGAAATAAAAAGTCATTCTGTGTAACCCACCTGTTTTTCATCCTGTTGTTAAAAGCAGTGATTCTGTACTCATTCAGGCTGCGTGCATTAGTCATTCAGGCTGTGTTCTAAGAGAACTCAGCTTTCAGTCGTCTGCCCTTGCACTGCTTGTGCCCATGCTAAATCGCATCTCCAGTTCTAGTCCTTTACTGCTCTGCTTGGAGTACTTTTTAGATAATTCTTGAAAAATACTAATAGCATTGTTGTGTTGTAATGCAAGTAAGATCATGATTTCTTGTGGGTAGATATTTATTTTGGCAATCATTCATTATTAAAGGTAGGACTGAGTCTTTTTTATCTTAGACCATAAAGAGAATTTTTATTCTTCATAATGAAGTACAAAATTTCTTTCAAGGTTGTTTGAGAAATTCACATCTTGCTGTGATTACGTTGTGGTCATTAATTGCTGCAATATAACCTTTGTATTTTGTGTACTTACACGTTTGTATTGCATCAGTATACACTGTGAGTAATATAATTTTGTGAGTAGGTTTGTTTCCTTCAATTACCAAGTTTCAAACTTATGTTACAAATAAATTTTTCATGTTTTATTCAGTGGTAAGGCACTGATATATTTTCACATTTAATGTACTGTTCCAAAATTGTGATCCTTTGGTCTACAAGTAACATGTATTTGACATCATTTTGCTGTGTCATTTGAATGATTTTTGCCTCAATTCTGCCTCCTGCCTCAAGTACTCTTCAGGAGGATAGATATTAGCTATGAAAAGTAACCCTTTATTGTAATAATACTGTTAAAACTTAAAACTACTAATTTTTATATCTTATTTATATCTTCAAGCATTTTGATAGTTTAATTTATATTTCACTATAAGATATGTATTCTGAGAAATATTTAAAATCTATTCCACTTTTTGTCCTTATAATGACATTATACCAAAGGAGAATTACATTGATATAGCTGTGTCCTAAATTATACAATGTAAAATTACGTAGGTATACTGCTTGTAAATGGTCCCTGTAATTTTTAAGTAAATGTTCTTCATGGTATAAGAATAATGATTTTTTTTTAAAAGAAATAACAAAATAAAAAAATAATGATTTTTTTAAAAAAAGTAAAATTAGAAGTATTAATTTATAATGGAGTTTTCCTTGTTCACTAAAATAAGAAATATCTTTGTTATTTATGGGGTGTTTCCTTGTTCACTAAAATAATAAATACCTATTATTTATAAATAATAAATATCTTTTTGATTATTATATAAAGTATTTTTGTTTTATTTCATTTTTAATTGACAAATAATAATACATGTTTTTGAAGATACAAAGTGATACATGGTAGAATTATCTACTTAGGCTAACTAAGATGTCCCTCATCTAAAATATTTACCATTTATTATGTTGGAAGAACAACAAATATATTTAAAACTTCTCTTAGCCATTTTGAAATATACATCTTTAATAATTATAATCACCATGTAGGAGATAACCAGAATTTAGGTTTTAAGCATTTAACGGAGAAATTAATAGATAAGTAAACTATTTTTGTATGTATTCTTTTCTAAAAATTATTTTGGTGTTATAGCTAGTTATTTATTGACTTTGAAAAGTAGATTTAAAGAATGATTTATTAATTTCAGCTTCATTTAATTAATTTTAGCTTCATTTCATTTCATGTCTCATGTTTGATTCTTTTTTACATCTACTCAAACATCAAGCATGTTGATAAATTCTGAATTTTAAGAGACAGTAGGGTTATTTAAGCAGGCATGCTGTAGATTATAAATTTTAAGATGACACTAGAATAATAAAAGCAGCCATGGCATTCCACAGTGGAATATATTTGGCTTCTTTGTCCTTGCTTGGCAGAAGTTGGTGTAATTAATGTCTTTTGTAAATTGAGCAAGATTTCAGTATTCTCATTTCAACTCTGGTGTTTTCTAATTAACTATGGTTATATATACAATTCTGTTTTATCATCATAAGTGATAAACTATTAGGGAAATAAATCTAATCAAGATTTTACTTTGATGTGTTGGCTTTATGTTTTATACCATATTCAATTGATGTATTCCTTCACATATTTAATTATATGTTTCTTTATAATATGGTTCAAAATTAACAATACAATGTTTTAGTTAATTGTTTTTGCGTGTGTGGTGTTGAGGATCTCCCATACTTGGTAAGCACTTCACCACTGAGCTACATTCCTCGCTCTGCACGTGATTTTAAAGGGAACTTTCCAATGTCTTTATTCTTATTGCAGTGATGGGAATTGAAAACAGGACCTGCACGTGGTAGAATAGGGCTCTACCGCTGAGTTACATCAGCAGCAGCTATGACATTTCTTAATCATTTAATGTTAATTTTGAGCTAGTCTACTTTGCCTCTGTTTTGTACCTGTCTGCCAGTGGTTTTCCTTTTTTTGTTATCAGAAACTTCCTGCTATTATCAATATAAATTCCTTTTCTTTTCCATAGAAGTTCATAAAGTAAGCTTTTAATACCCCAGATTTTAAAGTTCCAAACAATATTCTATGCCATTTACATTTTAATTATGAATCTTAGAATATCTACTATTAGAATGCTAAAGTCAAATGAGTTAGCTTTCTCTTTGGTTATTTGGAAACTAGATGCTAGGTCAAGGTTGAAACTTTAATCTTCTAAGCAAGATCTCTTATCGATCCATAAGTAACTGCAAATGAATATCAGAAATTTAAATATTATATATTTAGCAAGTAAAATATTTCCAATTGGTAGAAATATTTTCCCCAGTATTTTATTGCTAAATATTAAAGAGTGTAGTCTTTCTTGTCTTACGTTGAAAAATGAATCAAATTCAGATCCTCTTCTGTATAAAATGTAACCTACATTATGGGGTTAATGTGTTAAATAAGATAATACATATATATATAAAAGCTATTATATCAGTGTCTAGTTTTTTATCAAGTGCACAATATTTGTGATCCTCTTGGTAAAAGTATAAATAGCAGGTCTTGTTGGAGAAGCAAGAATCAAAAAAGGAAAAATGAATGTCAGACTTTGTAGGATATTTGTTTTGGAAAAGGAATTTTCCTCAGTATTTTCAATCAATCTGTTCATCAATTCCTTTTTTACATGGACTTTTAAATAGAGTTAAAATTTTTAAAAATCAGTATTAGGACAAAATTAAGTGGAAGTTACAGAGATTTCTTAGGTAGCTCCTGTCTCCAAGCATGTTTTATCAATATTCTACAAGAATGAATATTCTCTGTTAGCGTGGTAAACTGGTTAAAACTAATGAACTTATATTGATGTATCTTTATTGCCTCAGAGTTTGCAGTTTGTTCACAGTAGAACTCAGACTGGTTGGTTTATATCTATAGGTTTGGACAAATGTGTCGTGGCATGTAACTACCAGAATAATGTTAGTTAATTCTTTTAAGAAGTACTTAACATTATTCCATTCATTTAATTCCTTTTATATTGTTATTTCTTTTAATAATTACTACTGTGTTCAGCATGTAATAGTTACTAAGACTTAGTTTCTGCCCTTTGGGAGTACTTTTATTGAAAGGATTTATAAATTTGAGAAATGTACAGGTGCATTACACTTAAGTTTGCTTATTAGTCCATTTTACCATTAAGAGTATTTTAATATCACTGCATAAGCATTGCTTAGGCCATTTCAACATTAAGAATGTTTTGAGTCTGTTACAAGATCCCCCTCTTCAATTTACTGGGATGAGAAGTTGCTGCATACTTAGCTAGGCCTCCGATTCTTTGCCATTGGCCTGTAGTATTTTTTATGACTCTTAGGCAATCTCAGTCTTGGTATACCAGGAAGAACAACTGGTTAGAATAATTACATCTCTTTGGCTGAAGTGGTACAGTCAGCAACAACAATACCATCAAACATAGCCTAGAAAATGAAAAATTGAAATAACTATTAATTTGCCACCTTTAACTATGTGAACTAGATTTGTCGTTACATAACAAAATTCAAAACAAACCAGAAAATTGTATGTGGTAAGTAAGCTCTCAATATATGATTTTAGCCCCAGGGGAGAAAGTTTAAAAGGAGTGAAGGGGAAGAATAGAGAAACAGAAGAGGAAGAGATAAGAGGCAGGGCTGGAGGACAAAGGAGATCATGCAAACTTTGGGAAACTGGGAAGAAAACAGGAGGGCAGAAGGAAGAAATAATAAAATCAGAACAACAAAAAAACTAGAAACCATGTTCATTCACATTTATGTAAAAAAAAAAGAACAAAGACAATTCTGGGCAACAGTGGCAAGGTGGGGGGATCATAATCCCCGTGTTGAAATTATACTATAAAGCTACTGTGATAAAAACAGGATGGTTTAGCCAGGCATGTCGGTACATGTCTCAGAAGAAGGCTGAGGATTGTTGCAAGTTCAAGACCAGCCTGGACTAACAAAGTGAGCTCAGAGCCAACTTGAACTGCATAGTGAGCTCTGTCTCAAAAGTCTCCCCATCAAAAAAAGAACAAACAAGAAAACACACACAAGAAGAGAGAGAGAAAAAAGAAGGGAAAAAAATGTCCGTATCAAGGCGCATCTCTGCTGTCACTAGCAGACAAGGTGGGTAGACAGAGTCCTGATCCAGGTTGATTAATCCCAGCAAGCCAGCTGTAGTTTTATCACAGGGTAGTGGTTAATCCCAGCAAACCTTCATCTTTGGTTCCACTGAAGTTCAGTCTGATTTTTGGCTGTGAGGCTGGATCCAGATTTGTTCATCCTGCAGCAGTCTGTGTTCCTCCTGCTGACTTGAATTTGGCTCCTTGATCTCCTGCCAACTTGAACTCAGCTGCTTGACCTTGTCACTGGTTGAAGCCAGTCTGCAGCTTTTCTGAGTTCTGAGCTCAGTTGGCCCCTCTCTAAGGTGGCTACTGGCCAGTCATCCGAATAACTTACCAGTCCACTGCAGTCTGATGTGTCCACTTTTGCAGTCCACTGATACCTTTCTACGTGGAGGCTTCTGGGGTCACAAGTAGTCACCATGTGTCTGTAGGTTTGAGCTGACCTTTGCACGCAGTCTGGGCTCAGGGAGAAGGCACCACCTGCCACCTCCTAGTTCTTTGTTGAAATCTCTCTCTTTGCTGTGCCTGTGAGCCTCAATTCTTGCTTCAGATCCTTCCTCGGTCCCAGGGACCCAATTCTCTCCTCTTTCTCATGTTGCTGTATTCCAGTATCTGCACACCAAATCTTGAAGAGGCTTTTTCTCCTCACCACTCCACTATTTTCTTGGAAATCCAACAGTAAGAATTTTTAGTATCCCTGTATAAGAAATAGAAACATGGAAACCATTGTGGTAGGATTAACGAATGGAAGCTATTTGCTGGAACAAACTTATTGCGTTGTTTGAACTTTATTGTCTTTGCTTTGGAAATACTGGGAATTTTTCTTTAATATTGGTTATCAGTGTCATAAACATTCACATGTATACTATAATTGCTTATATAATGCTTTTAGATGGAATTGTCATGTCCTATAAATAGATTTGGATTGAACAGAAAAAATGTTTTCTGTGTAGTAGGGTCTTAGTTATAATAATCAAATCACAGTTTTATATTACTGTTCTTCATGGTACGTCATGGTATGTATAATTAGTAATTAGAGTGTGTTTTACTCACACCTCACTATTCTTTTTAAAATAAATTGAGCCAAGCATGCTGGCACATATCATTAATACCAGTACTCGAGAGGCTGTGAGTTTAAGGCCAGTTTACACTAGAAAGTGAGACCCTGTCTCAAACAACAACAACAACAACGACAACAACAAAACTAAAAAAATTAATCGAAAGATTTAAAAATGTTCTAATTCTTCTTGACCATTTTTTATTTGGTGAAGGCTGGTCATGTATATTAAGTTGGGGAGATGATTCTTGAAAGACTGACACACTGGTAATTTGTGTTATCAGGAAATGAACCCTGATAATTTTTGGAGACTTGGAAGTTTTGTTATATTGCCAATGATTGTATGCTTTTTTTTTTGGTCTTTTTGAGACGAGGTCTCGCTATGCAGTTCAGGTTGACCTTGGGCTGACTTTGTAGCCCAGGCTGATCTCAAACTCACAATAATCCTCCTGCCTCAGCCTCCTGAGTGCTGGGATTACAGGAGTGCACCCCAGTGCCCAGATATATGCTATCCTTATATCTGGTGGAAAGTTTATATTTGGACAGTAAAGTTTATATTGACATTATGTATATTTATAAATAGATTTAACAAAAGATAGTAAATTAGCTATTCTACACATTTGTAGCTATGTTTGTCCTTTCATATTCACCAGGTTACCTTACCTCCTACTTCATTATAAATTTAATCAAATTTTTAGACATTTCTTCAAATTGTTTCAGCTAAAGAACAAAATGAGTTCTTTGAAAACATTTGAAATTGTCATTTTAATAAGACTGATAAAGAAAAACAAGATACAAATCACTAAGATTTGGAATAGAAGGACCCTAACTACTGATTTTATGGTCAATAAGAGATAATGAATTAGGTGGTGTATTTCTGTAATTCCAGGTAGGAGGATGACAAGTTCATAGTTCAGCAATTTGGCAAGACCTTGTCTCAAAATGTAAAAAATTAGAAATGGGCCTGGGAGTAGCTCAATATGGAGGCCCAACCCAGGGCCTCCCTGGTACCACCCCTGTCACCACACACACATAATGACTAGGGGAAAACAGAAGAAACAGCGTAACTAATGAAAGTGGGAAACAGTAATTTGCTTTTCTTTTTAGTAACAGGGATTGAACTCATGATCTCGCACTTGTCATGCAGGCGCTTATGCCACTGAGCTAAATTCCCAGCCCCAAGACATTAATTTTCATTTAACAATATGAGTTCTGACATGTCATCACACACATTAAAAAAATGGCTTTATATCAATTGATGTGAAATGGAGAGGCTGGCTCAGTGATAAGGAAAATTACTTGACTAACTGCTAGGGAGCAGTTAATTGAAAAGTGTAAGCTAGTATTTTGCAGTTTTAAATTTTAGAAATGAAACTTAAAACATTAAG